ATTAAAAACACCAGGAAAAATGAAAAAAAAACGCAATATCTAATAAATCCTCTGAGAAATATGCACGATTATTTGTGGAGGGAGTTTATGTCACGTTAATTCTTGGAATGAATTCTTCTTCCTTAATATTTTGAAACGTTGTGATAGCGATAAAACCCGCACAGAAAAGAATGTTTTCAAAAATCCGAACGATTCTTGCAAATTCTGTCTGGATTTCTGAGGTGAAGAGTTTTGTTGTTATTATCCCAATGTTCAGGCCGATGTGATAACGATCGGCCATGTTTCCTGGATGAAGCAAGCCTGCAAGTTATAGAAGACATCAGCTACGGATTGAATGAGGACCTCATCAATAAATACCTTTCCATATTTTCAACCTAGATATGTGTAGGAAACTGCTTAGCTGCAACCCTATGACCAAATCTGGTCATGGAATTGATGATGATTATGATGATGATAATAATGATGATGGTGATGGGGTTGTGGACTATGATCTTAACTAAGGTCGAATAATCAAAAAAAAAAAAGTAAGAAAAAGTTCAACAGAATACTCAGATAGATTTAGCCTGCTATAGAGTCGTCCTGGGTAAGACGTTTAAATACATCCACGTCCTGGGTAAGACGATAAACTATGTCCAGCAGCAAGGCCTCTGATCAGGAGGTTTTGAGGAGCGTGGAACCACCTCTTAATTGCTGGTGTTCCCAGATCCACCCTGACACGGGGTGGTAGCACCTGTTAGGGGTCCCAGCTATGGGCCAGTCCTGGGCATGACGATAAACTACGTCCATCAGCAAGGACTCTGATCAGGAGGTTTTGAGGAGCGTGGAACCACCTCTTAATTGCTGGTGTTCCCAGGTCCACCCTGACCCGGGGTGGTAGCAACTGTTAGGGTCCCAGCTATGGGCAAATAGTTAACTATTACCACCAATACTTTTTTTGAAAAAAAATATTACTAGCAATGTAATTTTGAAGGAAAAATATAAGTCGAAACACATTTTTTGATAAAATAAATTATTATCTGCAATAAAAAAAAATTGTCGGCGTTAAATCACCCATTTAGGTTAAAACAAAATTAACGAAACCAAACTAACCTAACTAAACCTGCTATAGAGATTAATCACTGACCTAACCTTTCCGAAGAGGAAGACGTACAATCTTCCCTAGGGTAATATTGCCAAGTGAACACCTGTCTCAGATTTCAACCTTTTAAACATTAGGCTAACGCCCCACCGTTAGAGAAACACCGAGTCAATCAAATAAAATGATGTGGTCAATGATATGTGTATGTCTGTTTAATTTTAAAATCTAGGAATAGGCCGCCGCCTTTTTACTACTGTTCAGTTATTGCCCACCCTGTTTCCTGGACTTTATTAAAGAGTACATAGACAATAGAATCAGAACTATAGTATAGATCAATCGCTAAAAATACAGGTAAAATGATTGACGCTTTGTACCGCTTCATTAAGTACTTGACTCCTCATGATACGTTTATAAGCGCCAGATCAGGCCGGAAATGGAATACGATTGCCATATTTGGGCGGGAGCTGCCCAGGTCTCACTTACCAGTCTTGATGGGGTTCAATAGCGTCTCCGAGACTTTGAAAAGAATTATTTTCCACCCATCAATCTCTCTCCAACAGGCGCCATATGGCAAGCCTCTCGATGTCCTATCGCTGAAAAATCCTCGGACGAACTCAATCTCTTGGTTCCGTCAGGTGTGACCCTCACGGCAAGGACGTGCCGTGCCACTTACAGTGTAGCAAACCGCCGACACTCCCTTCGTATTCCATCGGTGAGAAATATGTTCCACTCGAACAGATTCTTCCCTCGAACCACTGCTCTGTGAAACTGACTCCCAGGACGATGTTTCCCAGATCACTGCAATCTTAACCTGTTCAAGGCTATAGTTAGTTGTTATCTCCCCTTCCTATCCGCAAAAAGTGTCTCCTAACCTAACCCTCTACTTCGAGTGGCTTCCAAGCCTTGTACATGGTGAATCATACTGTAAAAAAAAAAAAAATTTCGACAAACATCGCCTCTGTGGCAGAAGACTTATCAAACCATTGGTCTGTGGAACCGGCTCACAAGAGGATATTTTCCAGATCACTACAATCTAGAAGTAGCCGTTATCTTCCCCTGCTGTCTATATAAACTATTCCTTAACGTAATACTCTACCTTGAGTGGCTCACGAGCCTTGTACATGGTGAATCATACTGTAAAAAAAAAAAAAATTCCGAGTGGAAATATTGCCAATAAGTCTTGTAGTGATTTTACCAGGATTATGGAAGGCATCAAGGGAATTGTTGACGTATATCATCGCGACAGACTGGGGGAGTCATTGAACCCTTGTAAGAAGCATCAACGCCATTGACTGCGTCCTTTCCACAAACAAGAATCGATTGAATAAAAACGCATCTATCTTGCAGCAAGATTACTGCCCCGATATAGAGAATGGCAATTTTGAAATATTTAGATGCACTACTTAAAATGAGAAACACCAAAAAGAAATCAACAGAAATTAATGTTGGCTTAAACAGCAACGAAAAGTAAAAATAAACCCGATTCCCAAGAAAAGAGCGTGGCAGTTTAGGCTAGAGGGAAGACAGAAATAACGCACGCCTACGAAGACCTTCCACCAGCAGAGGGCAAATAGGAAAGATAGTGCATTACTTATCGCATTTACTTAAGCGCTACAAAAATATGTACACGTAGATCTGTGTGTATGTATAAATATATGTACACTGAGATGTAC